CGCGCCCTTTGGCTTGTGAGAAGGCGAATTCTTTTCTGGCTGATAGATAAAAATCTCCACCACATCCGCAAGCGCGAACTCCCTCCCGGATCTGCAACTAGCCGGCTCCCCTCCCGATCCATCTCGCCGCGGCGGAGATCCTTCATTCCTCCGGCGAGAGCCAAGATGTACTCGTGGGAGATGCTGTCGTTCAACATCCACGACGGGTTCCTGGAGGCGATCGTGCGGGGGAACCGCTCGGGCCTCCTCACCCAAGCCGATTACAACAACCTCTGCCAGTGCGAGACCCTCGACGACATCAAGATGCACCTCTCCGCCACAGAGTACGGCCCATACCTCCAGAACGGTATGCCGCGTGGATCTTTTCCTTCTCTTCTTTGGGTTGGATTGGGCTGCTTGGTCTGCGTTGCTAGAGATTCGCGATCCCGTCCATGCCAATTGCGATCTCGATTGGCCAATTGGAGATTTATTTTCTTCTTAGGGATAATAAGGGAGACTGCACCGTGCTCGGCGAGTTGGGATTGTTTTGAGCTAGCCCTACCTTGTCCGAAATTTCTCTTTGCTCTCTGGGAACCGTTGGGAGCAGGTTTGATGAGCAACCAAACGGGCGGTGTTAATCTACGCAGTGCCTGCAAGTTTGTTATACTGTATTTCCCACAGCCCACATGTCATGGCAACTCTGTAGCACCAGCCTGATCCCCCTGATGAATTTTGCCGCAAGATCCCTTTCATCCACTCCCACCTTACGATTTCAGCCATCTGTGACGCGTCCCAAGACGAATTCGCCCAATTTATTACATCAGTTCCATTAATGTGCTCTTGTGCTATGATATACAGTAATCGCTGTGTATGTTTGTTCTATGCGTTTCTTCTGATACCTCTGTATTGTGATCGTATTTCTGATTGATTGCAGAACCTTCTCCCTTGCACACAACAACAATTGTGGAGAAGTGCACTCTTAAGCTGGTTGATGAATACAAACACATGTTGTGCCAGGCGAATGAACCTCTATCTACATTCCTACAGTACATAACGTAAGTCATGAAGCACTGCTAGGATGCCATTTGTTTCTGCTTCGTTTGCACAAGCAAACAACATATCAAACCAGTGCAGGGCAGACTTCGGTTTGATCCTAACGGGATAATGTTTTCTGCAGGTATGGACACATGATCGATAATGTTGTCCTTATTGTTACTGGGACATTGCATGAAAGAGATGTTAACGAACTGTTGGAGAAATGCCATCCATTGGGCATGTTTGACAGGTATTGTTGTGGTTCCTTTCTCGTTTCTGTTAAATGGAGATC